TGTAAACCGCTTAGAGAGGGCTGAAAGCCCTATGAAGCGGTATATAAGTCTAACTGCTATTGCTATTGCTATCTGGCAGCTCACCAAGCAAGATAAGGTTCGTGTTGATAAATATTCCTTTGAATGACTGTTTGCCAAGCTTTGCTGACTGTGAATGGGGATGCCAGGGAGTCTATAGACATGGGCAATAAACAGTTTGGCCAGCTTCCTAACAGATGGAAGGCCGGTATACGCTACAAGACCAAGCGCTTATTTTTGTGGTGGGGTGTGTGTCAAAAGAAAATAAGACCCTGTCTTATTTTGGGGGGAAACACGGTAGCGTAACCATGGTGGCAAAAAACGGCCGTGAAATCACGCACGACTCACTGAACCTAGCCTTGCTTAGCGATAGAAATTCTGTTCCCAATTCTGTTCGTAGGTCGAGGACTACCCGCAGAGATAAAATCGAGGCGGGTAAGAGCACAAGGTAACTGTCACACCTGCCCCAGCGAGGTCCTTAGGGAAGAAAGATCATTGACTCCATTTGGATGAAGCGATAGGTTCTTTTACTAAGGATTACCGGTTGCAGCAAAAGCAAGGCTAGATCTGAGTATTCGTGCCCCAATGTTACAAAGTTTATCCTTTCCGGAGCTCCCCACCCCACCCTTTGGCCAAATCGTCAGTGTCCAATGGCTGTGTGATGTTTTGGGAACCGCTTTGATGTGAGGTGCATCTTGGAGAGGTTTGACATTCTTTTCCCAGGCCGGGTGCCCTTGGATAGCTGAATTATTCCGGTTTGACACCCCCGGTTCCCCCCACATTTCCCTCCCCAAATTCTTCTGCCCCCTTCGTACATACCCCATCCTCAAAATTCCAGCGCTTGCTGACTTCGCCTTCATTCTGACTGAAGATCTGCTGGCGGATTGAAATGGATTGCTCCAGGACTTTCTCCGGGTCCAGCGCCCCCTGAAACGCAAGAAGAGGTGAAATCAGGGATATCGAAGGAACCTTCACGAAAAGAAGTGGGGAACCGGAATTGGACCTAAGCAATGATTAGACGATTTTCTTGTATTGCTTCTTTCCTTTTGACTTATTTATATCACGCCTTTACAGGCAGTCCTTGACTTACAACAGTTCATTTGGTGATCCTTTGATGTCATTAGAAAAAAAGTCACGACCATCTTTGTCAGAATATTTATGAACTGGCAGCGACATGATAAGAAGATCAGCCAATCAGGCTTATTTGAAAACAGAAACTTAAGTAAGAAGTCTGGGCGTGGCTTAGCTGTATTAAGCTCTGAGAAGAAACGACTCTGGACGTCTGCTGATCTGAACTGATCTGAACCTGTTATCTGCTGTTGGTATTTTGTATGTATATACAACACATTTCGTTAGCCACTGCTAACATCGTCAAGAGTGTAAAAACCGTAAAAGAGATACCTGCCTTTATACACTATTAATCAGTTTGGCCATGATAGGCCCATCCACTCGCTTCCCACCTGTAATTAGGTTTGTTGTTTTTACATCAAGCATGTTAATCAATGCTCCTATTCCTTCCTCCCCTAGTGGATGGGCGTATCATGCGCGCAATGGTCAAATTAATACTGTATAAAGGCAGGTATCTCTTTAATGGCTTTTGCACTCTGCTGATGTTAGCAGTGGCTAACGAAAGCTCAGTGAGCAATATATTTTAAAGTTCCGGAGATCGCAATGTCTGTTTCTTCTTTTATATCTATCGATCATCTATCTATCTATCTATCTATCTATCTATCTATCTATCTATCTATCTATCTATCTATCTATCT